CCGGGAGACTGGCAAAGATGCTCACTAGGTGTGCTCGTGGCGGGGGGAGTCCCCCAGATCTTCCTCCCAGGAGCACAGCTAGGGGGTCAGGCTACTCGGGGCCGTGTGTCTTGCTGGGCTCCCGCCCTCTCCGAGCTGGCCAAACTCCGTCCTCCCTCCGGCTCGGCTTGGTCTTTCATCCAATTCTGTGGAGGTGTGCATGAGTGTGTTCACGGGTGCGGAGGGGTGTGGGTGGGGGTGTGTGTGTGTGTCTGCGTGTGTGTGTGTGTGTGTGTGTGTGTGTGTGTGTGTGTGTGTGTCTGCAGGGATGCGTGTGGGTGTCTGTGCCTTTCGGGGTGGGAGTTGTGATGTAGGGTTAGGGGCAGGGTCCCCCAACCAGCCCCGCAGTCACTCTCAGTGACGGGCGGGAGCGAGAAGCGAGGGTGGGTTGTCGCGTGCCGGTGAAAGGGCGATGGCACAGAGGCGGGGACAGCCCCACGATTCTGGCCCTTCCTCACCCTCCTGGTTCGAGGACCGAGTCCAGGTCAGTGTGACTCCAGGCCCAAAGGAAAAGGGGAGAGGATGCCGAATTCCTGTATTTTGCCAATTGTTTCTAAGCCTATGCATTTTTAGTGTTTTCTTCAGCCAATTGATTTCTGCAGTTTGTTTTTTTTTTAAGCGAATTCACTTTTCTGGGGTTTCAGATCATTCTATGAGGGGCTGGTGTGTGTGTGTGTGTGTGTGTGTGTGTGTGTGTGTGTTTTAGGGTTTAGTGTTTGCCATTTTTGATGCATATGCAAAATTTGGGGGTCATTTGGGAGGAGCGTTGTGTGGGAGATGTTGACAGCCAATTGATTTTGAAGAGTCCCTCAGCCCGATGGAGGGGGCCGAGGAGGGTAGCCTGACCTGGGGAGGCGGGGCATGGGGGCTGGGGCAGGGGAAGCCCGCAGGGGGAGATGGGACAGAGAGACTTTGGCGACAGAACCTGATGGTAGCGTCCTTGGTCAGGAGGAGGTCACAGGGCGATGGTTCATGGTGCAGAATTACAACACTTTGGTTCACTTCTGATCACTGGGCATCTCCGGAGAGGCATCCCCGTGGGCGGGGTCATGGGTGGGCATGGCGATCAGGGGATGGTGACGCTTGGCCTCTCTGAACGCCTCGAGCTCCTTGGCGAGCACGCGACCCCGACGGGCACGCAGGAGGGCAGGCAGGCCCCTGCGCAGGCGCTGGGCGGACTGCTTCCAGGTATCATATTGGAAGAACTTGCCCACGGGGTATCTGGGGAAGTTGTCCTGGGAGGGGGAGGGGACGGTCAGCAGGCACCCACCCCACGGGCCCCTCCGCCCCAGCCGCCCACCCTGACGGGGGCCCTTGGCCACCCCGAGGCCCCCCGGCGGCCCCAGTGTGGCCGGG